TTGGGTTTTGTGGGGTTTGTTTGCTTGTTTGTTGTCCAAATCTATGACTGATCTTTTTGCATACATTTTGATTTTTTTAATTTAGTTTGTAAAAATGCCTTAAGTTAAAATTACTGAACACCCTACCTCAACTAAGATGGTCATTATTTTTTCTTTAATCCAAGAAATAAGGATTTAAAATTCCACTGTTTGAATGGACTGTCGTTCTGGAAATGTCTGTATAGCGTGAACCATATGTTCCATACTAAAAATGGTTTGACAAATCTGGGAAAGTTAGAATGGAATAAAAGCTAGGGTAGGGGTGAGGGTTGAAGAGGGAGACTTTTTCTTAATGTGGTTTCATGCTGAGTGTGCTTTACACTGTTGCCTTCCTTTAGGTGGCAGGTGAAATTCAGGGCTCTTCACTTCTAAATCCTGAGTGCTCTGGAAATGGCTTTACATGCCTCAGTGTAGGACCAAAATGAACCAAACCACTTCAGTAGAACTTTTATTGTCCAAATGGGAGCGAGTTCCTGGCCGAGCATTCTCTTCTGCCTCTCTTGTGTCAAAAATGAATCTCCTCTACTTGAGACTATTTAACAGCTATTGATAGTTTTACTTTTTCATTTTACACAGTCAGAATCCTCAAAACAAGCAAGCTTGTGGTTTTACTTTCTCTGACCAATAGCATTTTTTCCTCAGATGCTATTTGTGCTGCTTGGGTATAGCAACTACAGTGGTTTAAAATGTTAATGGTAGGTGGCAAACTCCTTATGCTTATTAGCTCTCTTCCTTCCTAGCATAATTAAAGATGACTGACTACAAAGTAGTGCACAAATAGGAGAAGTGATCTTACTGCATGTGCCTGCATGCCACTTTGGTCATACACTGGGCTAAGAATTAGAAATGTTACTGTTTTCCTTAACTGTAAAATACATCTCTATAATCTATTTACCATTACTGGTTGGAAAAAAAAAAATTAATCTACTTTGCCTTATTTTTAAGCAAATATATGTATTTGCTTAAATATATATATCAAAGTTTTTTTGTAGCATCAGCTGCCCTTGCTTCTTGTTGTTGTTGCACATTAGCAAAAATGTATGCTGAATTTTAACATAAATTTCCGACTGGAGATTGAGGAGTATATATTTTTCAGGGAATCACAAGCAAGATCTTTTGCTAAGATGAGCCTCATTTGGAAACAAGACATTTCATTTGGCTGCTTTAGCCAAATGCTGTGTGCCATGCTGAGTGCTGGGCTTCAAGTATGTGTTATAAGAATGACTTGCAAAGACATTCAGAAAATACATTCAAGAAGCAATTTTTAAATCCAGATGTTTCATTGAGAACTAATGGGACAGTTAGCTGCTGTGCTATTAAGTGTCTTTGCCAACCAGAGAATTTAGGAGGTTTTGGGGATAACAGGCCTTTTTTCTTCTCCAGGTCTTTAGCACTGGTACTGTGTTACAGAAAATGCAATAACTAGTCTGCAGTTTGGAAGCTGAGAACAAACAAAACACATCTCAGAGAGAAGCCCTCAGAAGGGAACAACTTTTATGGCTCTTCTATAAGAAGTTATTCTGGAGTTTCTGATTGGTTTGGCTCACTGTGAGTGCACACTCTGTATTTACATTACCTAGGTGGACGTGTCTTTCTTCAAGTTGTCTCTCTGTTATTTTCATTAGCTTTGGCAATGACAATTACCCTGGAGTCAGTAGATCCAAACAGACTGCATTCTGTTCTCCTGAACTTTATTTGTTTACCTGAAAAATTAATTTAGACAAACATGTGCTGTCACTCAAAAGTGAAAAAGGTATTCTCAAATTCTTACACAACTGATTTGGGGGTTATCAGTGCTGGTTATTACTGGGGCTTGTTATTCAGCAGCTAGCAAAAATTAAGCCAACCTTTGCATCAACTATGTTTTGCAGTCTCAAATCACCTCAAATACTGCTAATTCTCCTTGTACCAATTGCTGGTGCTTTTACCTAGATGTAGGTGACAATTCCTGATAAGCTTTGTAATTACTTGTGTCCTGCTTCAGTTACATTCTGTGGGTCAAATCTGTTTGTGCCTCAGTGGCTAGCAGTGGTTGCTTAATTACTTCTCAAGTGCATAATTGTACCCATATGCCCTTTGGTACATTGCCTTCTGCTTTTCCTGCTCAAACTGTATTGAGGCTGCAACAAAATGCACTTTCTGCTCAGCCTATATTCATTTTCTAATAGTTATTAATGTTCAGTTTGCCTAACTGAGCACAGAGCTGGTGCTTTCAGACAGCTATCTACAATGATTACAAGAGCTCTTTCTTCGTAACTACTCAGTATAGACCACATAGAGGATGTAAACTTGGGATTAATTGCTAATCACTTAAAAATTATCAGTGCACCTCTGGTTTAATGGGAAGATACCACTGCCACTAAGGCTTCTACTAGTTTCAATACTGTATCAAGTATTTTAACTACATACAGAGGAATGTGCTATGGAAGTAATTTGCAGCTTTTGCCATGACAGACAAAGCTTGACACATGGTGCTCTTGTTTTGCCTGTCTTCCAGAAAAGGTGTTTATGATGAATTATTTAGAACTGCTATGTAATGATGGGAGGTGAAGAAGGAAAGGTGCATCCACCACTTCAGTTTGCCTTGGTCTGAAATTCAGCAACCCACCAACTTCTGCAGCAAAGTTGTGGCTCAGAAGTTCCCTACCCTTTGCCGTTGTAGGTTCCAATTTTTTTGTCTAGCTGGCTCTGGATCCTACCTCACTAAAAACTGCACATTTTCAGCCTGAATCATTTCAGTGTCTTTACATAGACACAGCTCTGCAGACAGGTAGCTCTGTTAGTTGTAGCAACAAATCAGTGCCTAGCTTCATTTCTGAAACTGCAGCAGCACTGTGCTGTTGGGGCTGAAGGGAAAATTTCTTAAATAACTCAGAAAGTTGGCACAGGCAAGGATCCTTGAACACTGCTGACAACTTGGTTGCTGTGTAGCTTTAAAATGCAAATATTTTCTTGATCTTAGAATTTTACCTTAGTTTTGTACCCATATACCATGGGTAGGAATATGGCCACTTAGAAGTCTTTTGGGAAGTGTCCACCAGGGTTAAGATGTGTCAGGAACTATTCTTTGTATAAATGAGTTCTTTGTATAAGTGAGTTCTAGGTAATTCAGTCTGTATATAACAAGATTGGAGCAAATCTTCACAGAAATCAGCCTGTGTTATGCTGATAGGTATATCTGACTTTGGGAGAATGAAGTTTTCACCCCTTATTTCTTCAGCTGGTTGTTGAATGGAGTTGAATGCTGCTGCTGGAAAAGGGTCTTTATCTCCTGGGAAGCAGTACAAGAAATGCAGCTAATACACTTTTTAAAATACCGAAATGTATTAGGGGCATTTTACATTCTGTTTTTACATGCTGTATGAAATTCACTGCTGTCTGAGTGAAAGAAGGCTCCCAAGAAGTTCGGCTGTGTGGGATGTTCTTGCTGTTTAACTCAGTTGCCCAACTTTCACTTAATTAGCCAGGTTTTGTGTAAAAGCGTACTGATATGTATGATGGCATCTACTGCTGCACTTTGGGTATAAATGTAATGCCTGTGTGACACCTTTCTGTCTGTGATGTTATGTGTAATCCTTTCTGTGCGTGGTATGGCTCTTGAAACTTCTGTTAAACACAATGCTGTGGTTACTGTTGGAGAAAAAGTACACAGAAAGATTTAAGGCAAAACGTGGCAAAGCAAACGCTGCAATTATCTGCAGCTGAAAACAAGTAGCTTTTAATATGTCCATTCACCTAAGAAGGGAGGGAGAATTATAGCCCACATGCTCTTTCTTTCCCTTTTTCTATCATTTCTCTTCTTCTTTTTTCCTTTATACAGTTTATCACCCATAATTTCAGGATGTGTTTTGTTTCTTTAAGCTGTTTTATCTATAGGCTTATGAGGTCAGTCATGTGTGAATTCTTTTGTTAGTCACCTCACCTTTTGCCTTGATGATAGAAAATTGATCAGGCCTAAAGTACAAGTTCAATAGACAACCCCCTTGGTCCTTTGTCTAGTAGAATAGCTACCATTGAAGGCCATGAGCAGGTTGCTATTAATATGACAGCCTGCTCTATCTCCCACTGTAATTTATAATGAAATACCTAATCTCCATTATTTTGATCCAAGCAGGCGATCCCATGAAAAAGTCTTTTCATCCAGTTCCCAATGGCAGTTACATGAGAAATGGCAAACCAATAATTTTTGTCAAGTTTTTTAAGCCAACAGAAATGCTTTTCCACTGCTACAGTTTCAAAAGGCACAGATAAAGCTCATTCACTGAGATGAATGAAAAAGCCATCTGGGGTTTTTCTTTTTGACTTCCTTTCCTTTTCTCCATCCTTGTAATCAAATTTGAGCAAAATCAAATGGGGCTTTCTATGAAAGTACCTTTTGTTGATCTGAACGAGCTGGTAATTTACAAAATACCCTTCCTTTGTGAGGAAGGCTAAAGAAAAAAAGAATCAGTAGCTTTTAAAGCTGGGCCTTGGTAGGACTCTAAATGCAGTGAAAGCAGTCTGTGTTGAGAGATTGAAATGCATTTCAAAGCCAGGCCTGAGTCAGGGTACAGGGAAGAAAAAACCTATGTGCATTTTATAAGAAGAAAAACCTGAATGGGAAGGGGAAAAGAGAGAGAGGAAAAAATCTGGATAATACATTAATCATTATTTTGGAAATTGTCTTCCTTACTGGCACATACTGCGTAACTAGTGATTGAGAACTTGGATTTTTGTTCTATTATGGGCACCTCGGCGTTTGTCTGTGCTGCTTTAAAGTTTGAGAGGCAAGGATCCTTGAACACTGCTGGACTGTGTTTTTAAATGTTTATATTTTTTCAACTCTGGGGTTTTTCTGGTTTCTTTTTTTTTTTTTAACCTTACCTGTGAAGTACTGTGGGGAGAAATACTTGCAGGAAAGCTGAGTTTATCCCTTTTTTTGGCATGCTAATATTTATTTTCATTGTATTTCTGCTTACCAGATTTCCTAGTGGTAATTATTTCCCACCAACTCAGATGGAAGGACAGCGTGGGTGCCTGACAAACGGTAAGTTTATGCCTTGTTTTTGTTATTTGTATTTCAAGAATAACTGGAGAAGCTGAGAATGTTTGATTAATCATAAATTCTGTATTGTAAGCATTAATGCTGTACAACTGTATGAATCTATTAATGTGAGATACTGCAGATGTAATTTAGCTCTTCTTATCTCTCTGTTACTTACCGTAACTGTTTAGGCAGAGACTGATAACTGTATTGTTCTATCCTGAAGATAATGCAGCCTATTAAATAAACACTGATTTATATGTCGTATTCAAAGATCTGAGCAAGCATAGCCCATTTTATAATATTTTTGTATTTAGAGGCTTGCTTAGAATGCAAAATACTTCTCATTTCTCCACCTGTGTTTTGATTCTGCCTTGAAATGCATCTTAATACCAGCTTCCTGGTTCCACAATATAAAATGGTACTGGTGATTTTACAGAAATATAGGCACTCAGAAGAAATTCCAGTTTCTTCTTATTATTTTATATTCTTTTAAAGAAAACTCCTATGTGTTGTGTTTGTCCTGCTTAATCTTGTATCCTGGTAAGAAGAGAGGCGTGAATGTTACTGACTAAGATCTTACTCTTATTTTTAGTGAGGCATGAGTAAAAGCACGTTGGCTTTTAAATTTTGCTGTAAATATAGGGCCATGAAAACAATTTAGAACTGTCAACTTTCCATTGTAAGCTGCTTGGTTTGAGTGAAACAGTACGAGACGTGATTTGTTTTTTATTCCTTACACGTGTATGGATAGTGTTGGGATAGAAACATAGAATGCATACTGTAGGAATAAAATAAGTGCATTGTATTTTAACATTATCAAGAATCCAAAGTCAACCACATAAAGTTCGAGTGCAGCTTCATTGACGAGATCCCAAATTATTTAACAAACAGCTTCCGAGGTATTTTCTTTGGTCCAGCTTGACATCTGATAGAATTGGAGAACATTAAAAAGTCACTTTTGTATCTAAATTTGTTTCGACTCGTAGTTCCTGGTTTCCTATTCTCTTCCAATTTCTGACAGGATTTGTTTTCCCTCATGGTTCCGAGCCATTTGCTGCCTCCTAATGACTGACTTATAAAACAGCAAACATGGAAAATTCACAAAAACTTTCTGGAACTGTCACTGCTGTGTATCTTGTAACTGTCTACCATTTTTCATATATGTAGAACTGATGAAGAAATTTGTGAAAGTAATAGCTTTGCTTTTTGGCGTCCTAGCAGAACATCAGAGCTCTCACCCTGAGAAATACTGTACAAAGTGCATAATAGGAAACTTTCCTGGTGCTGTGTGGAAACAAAGATACAACTAGTTGACTTTGTTACATAAATCACATGATCCAGCCATAAGAATCCTTCTTTTCAAAGGCTTGCATGCTACTTTTGGTGCTTGCTCTGGCTAAACCATCTTCTCCCACCTCTCCCCCTCCCACTTTATAATAAGCAATCTTTCATCTTTTTTAGTTTTGTGTCTTTCCTCCTACGTACTTTCTTAAACTTTAACTTCTCTTCTTCATTTAATACTGTCAAACCTAATGTGTTTTGATTATTTAACAAATGAAACTATAGCAAAGTGAGAAGAATCCTCATATCAAACTTTTCTTAATATATACTATTCCTAGCATTGTGCAGCATCACTTTACTTGAGAACTTTGAGACCTGTCTTAATAGAAATATTAAAAATTATATGGGACATACAGAGAATACAGATTTTTAATTTCTGTATCATTTTTTTTCCTTCTTGTGAATTCTTCTGCATTTTTTAAGGATGTAATCTTGTAATTAAAGCAATCATCATGAATTAGGATGCGAGTTCTTATTGAAGTTCTGAATTTGTTCTGAATTTATGTAATTTGGGGTGTATTCTAAACTTTTTCCAGGACTGAGCTGTGCTCAGTAATAGTGCTCCATTTGTGGCACAGTGCTTGTAAGCTGCCAATGTTTTCAAACGTGTTGGATCTTAAAGGATGCTGAGTGCCTCCACCTGTACCTGTTTTCAAGTTGCCAAGTCTGGTGCTTTAACCTTTCAAGCTCAAGCACATTGTGTATTAGAGTATGAAGAATTAGCATAATAAATCACTTATTGTATTTCTTCAGTAAATATTCTCCATCATTTCAGTCATCTGTTGTGAAGGCTTTGTAGGAAAGACTCAGCTACACACAGTGACTACTTTTTTTGAGATGTGTGTAATTATGTACTTGTATGTGTAACTTAAACAGTCTGTAATATATGAGAGGAGTTTACAGTCATAGAACGATATGGGGGAACTGAAGTTACAGCAAATAAGTTTAGAAGCACTTTCTCCGTTAGGGACGTAATCCAGTACAACACGATTCATGCAAGGAAACGCCTGCAACCCAGTGAGTGAGCTATTGTATGGGTTGAAACCACTGCTGAGCATAAGCAGATAGTTCTAGTGCTTGAGATTAGGTTGTTTTATCTGCCACTTTGGGGGTTTAATCAGACTGACTTGTATTGGAATGGGAAGAGATGTTCAGTGGACAATCGGTGGCATTAATTTTTAAATATGTGAAAAACGGCAAGAGATTGGGAACAAAGGATGGTAATTCCTCAATACCAGGTGCCCTATAGTGTTCTTCATTGCCTGCAAGGAAAACTTTTCCTTTTACCTATGTTTTCCAGTCGTCCACTTTAGAGTGTATAACACTGTTCAGCTTAATTGGATGAGTAAGCTATACCTGCACAATTTTCCCTTGTTCCATGAAGTCCATCCCTTACCATTTGAGGATGCTTTCTAAATTCTTCAGACTTCCCACCTGGCTTTTAATGAGCATTGTGGTTGTCAGTTAGGGTTGGGACAGTAATGCCAATGCATTATGATACTGCTATTATTCTGGTCATTTCGAGTATTATTGTGAACCTTTAGAACTGTTGCATTAGTAACATTCCCGATGCACCATCCGTTGTGAATTTGGTGGAGTCAGGCTTAGAGCGCAGATAAAATTACTGTACAGCACAAACTGTGATAAAGGATGTGTATTTTTTTATAAGCAGGTTGTTCACTGTGAATTCATAGAACATTTGCAAAATTTTCAGAAGCTTCTTTTTGTAATTTTGAGCACTGTTTGGGTTTTCATTTAGCCATAAGGAACAAGTAAATGATTTTGACTGTGGACAACAAACTTTTAGCATTATATACAAGATAGTACAGAAGGAGGTGTTCTTGTAGAGTGTTTTTAGGCTTACTTGTAAAACTTTTATTGGAATCTTTTCTCTTATAATTAGTACATGTAATCAATTTCAGTCTGTCCAGTAAAATCAATTTTAGTCTGTCCAGTAAGAATGCTCAGGACTTGAGTCAGTATTTTCATCAAACTAGTCTTTAATCTTTTCAAATTTCTTGTGGTATGCATTGCTATCCAGTGAAATTGTGTAGTCTAGATACTATTTTAAAGAAATATTTTCTACCAGTTCTATTCTTTTCTTTAAAGTAGAGCAAAATCTCTGGAGGACCATGTTGAAATTCATTGTACAGTGTAAGTAATGTGGCCATCATCCAGTCATCACTGTCTCAGAAGCTCAACAATTTCATTCTTCCTCCAACATCCAAGGGGAGAAAAACAGGAACAAATATTGTATTGGTAGTTTTGTTGGTTAAAGGAAGCATTCTAAAAGTCATTCATTATTTACCTATTATTTTCATGTATTACTTGGAGACCATAAAACTCATGGCACTTGGGGACTGTAAGTCACAGTCTTTTGATTTGTGTTTAATAAGGAGGACCTGAGAGACACTCACAGATTTATTTGTTGCCTCGACGACTTCAGAGCCTGTGCTTATAATGACATACCAACAGCAACATGAAATTAGCTGGTTCTTTCCTCTCTTTGTAGTTTGTCCTTAGCTCTAGAAAGCTGTCAGAACTGTGAGAAAAAGGAGGGGTCTGTTTACTGTCTGTATATCTTTTTTCAATTAGAAGATTAAGGAAGGCTAGTTTTCTGGGTAATGTCAAAATAAAGGCTTTTCATCATGGCTGTTTGAGCCTGTCACATGCTTTGGAAATGTTCTTAGGACACAACAGTATTTTCTTAACCTAGGTACCTTGCAGACCCACAAACTCAATTTAGTAAAGTCAGTGAAACACTTTTGAATCTACTGGGTGGTGGTGTGACTGCATGAAGAGCTCTTGAAAAGTGGAGCCACTTCTAAGGTTAATGCTTGCAGTGCGAATAAGATCATCGCTGCCTGCTTTGTGGTTGGCAAGATACTTACTAGGAAATCTCATTCTTCTTTATTTAAAAAAATAGAATTGACTAAAAAAAAATAGACTAAGTTCCATCATGATGCCATGGTTTGATAGAGCTGGTTTGATGGCATCTCTCTGAATGTAAGTAATTGAATATTATTTACTTATGCATGCAGAAAATCCTTGTGCAAATATGCCCCTTTTTAGATTAGGGGAGCAGTGCCTTCCGAGAGCTCTGTCTGATCTATCAGTTATTGTGCTCTAATGCTTCCTGTTTCTTCTGCTCAAATTCTCTTATCGAAGCTCTGCAGCACAATATTTCAGGTGCCTGTCAAGTCTAACAAGTAATGTGACTTTCCTTGTGCGTGCAGGTAATAGTGCAAGTCAGGAGCATCAAGTGAGTGAGCAGCAAGTATGAACTACAGGGAAATCTGGAAATTATTTTGGTGAACAGGCGTGCAGATTACTGACTGCAGAATACCTGGGAAATGTTCTGATTTTCCCCTTCTTTCAACATGTTCTGAAATACTTCTAACAGCAGACAGAAGCTGTCCTCAGTGCGAACTTGTCTCACGCAATATGTGGGGCAGAGAACTGAGATTTCACGCACATCTTGTAAGCATTTGGTAATGTTCATAGCTTAAAGCCATCTTGAAGTTAGCCTTCTTTTGAGGTTTTTTTTTAGCCAAGTATGTGTAGTCTGTTTATTGGAAGACCATAGCCTGCCTGTGGGAGGGAGATGCATGAGGCTGTAGGCAACACGTAAAATGGGCAAAGGGAATTGTCAAGTCAGT